CCACAGGTATTCTAAGCAATAATGTGAAGTTTTTTATTTTTTATTTTTTTATTTTTTTCGGCACCTAAAAAAATTTAAATTTCGCTTAAAGTGGATGGCCACAGGTATTCTAAGCCATTTTGTGAAGTTTTGAAATTTTTAATTTTTAATTTTTTTAATTTTTTTGGCAACTAAAAAATAAAATTTCGTTCAAAGTGGGTGACCACGGGTATTTTAAGCCCATTCCGTAAAGTTTTGAAATTTTTACTTTTTTGCTTATTTTTATTTTTTTGCATATAAAAAAATTAAATTTCACTCAAAGTGGGTGCAAAATGATATTTTAAGCTATTCACGTGAAGTTTTGAAATTTTTATTTTTTTATTTTTTTTCGGCACCTAAAAAATTTAAATTTCACTCAAAGTGGATGGCCACAAGTGTTCTAAGCCATTCTATGAAGTTTTGAAATTTTTGATTTTTTGATTTTTTTATTTTTTTCGGCACCTAAAAAAATAAAATTTCGCTCAAATTGGGTGGCCACGGGTATTCTAAGATATTCTGTGAAGTTTTTAAATTTTAGAATTTTTTATTATTTTTTATTTTGTTTTTTGGCAATTAAAAAAATTAAATTTTGCTCAAAGTGGGTGGTCATAGGTTTTTTAAGCCATTTTGTGAAATTTTTTATTTTTTATTTTTATTTATTTTTTTCGGTACCTAAAAAAATTTAAATTTCACTGAAAGTGGGTAGCCACAGATTCTAAACCATTATGTTAAGTTTTGAAATTTTTGATTTTCTGCTTTTTTTTCTCACCTCAAAGATCGTGACTTCCATATGAATATGTGTGTTGAAGAAAATGAATTCCTCATAAATGGTTCTCACTTTTGTTCCAGAAATGAAAAACCAACTTTTTTTGTTCTCATTTCTAAGTTTGAATCCGATTTTGGAAGCAAACTTGTCCCGAAAATAGAAAAATGAAATTGCGTTACCAAACGGGTTTCTGGTCCAAAACTGATTCTGGGAACAAAAAACCAGTTCTGGACAGAACCAGAATGGTTTTCATGCAGCACAAAAGTTGGCTCCGGTTGGAATCATTTTGATAGATTTAGGGATAATATCATAAAAAATCTCAAACCAGTATACCTGTTATAAATTTACTCCGAACTAATTTTTTGACCACCAAAAACTCCAAATTGCTACGCTTGTGATAAATTTACCAAAAACTAATTTTTTGACTACAAAAAACCCCAAATTGATACACTTGTGACAAATTTATCTTCCGTTAAATTGGATTAATACCATGAAAAATCACAAATTAGTAAACATGTGACAAACAAAAGGGTAAAACCTCAAATTGATACACCCGTCAACTGTCACATGTCATCCAACTCAGCAATTTGATGGTAAAATTTAATAGTAACTAACAGAGGGTAAATTTATTACTGGTGTACTAGTTTGTGGGGTTTTTTGTGGTCAAAAAATTAGTTTGTGGTAAATTTATCACATGTGTACCAGTTTGTGATTTTTCAACTATTGGAGTTGGCCATGCTTGAAGTCGTTACGGGACTTTTCGTGAAGCGAGAGCGCATTTAGACCAAAATGCCAGCCACTAGAAGTCAAAGATCATTTCGCCGACATTAGCGAAATATTGAAGTCGGATGCATTTTTGTGAAAACCGGCCGTGTCTAGCCTTTTGAATGTAATTACTTTATTTTTATTAAACTATGGTGCTTGACCAAAAATTACTATTATATTTTATGGTTAGAAGAACAATAATTCTAGTCGGGATATATTTATATCGGTATTTACAAAGTGCGCCCATCAAAATTTCCTCTTTAACTCTGTCGCACATTTTCTGCCTATATAATAACGTCAGAAATTTACCACATGTATAATCATGAATTTTAAACCTTCATTTCGTGAAATGGAAAAAAAATTATTTAATGATGCCCTTTATTTAAAAGGATTAATACCATAAAAAACCCATAACTGGTATATCCATAAAAAATCCTAAACTAGTACACCTATGACAAATTTACCTCCCTTAGTCTCCGTTAAATTTTACTGTCAAATTGCTGATTTTGATACCACGTGACAGTTGACCAGTGTACCAATTTAGGATTTTATTCTCTGTTTGTTTTAGGTGCACCGATTTGTGATTTTTCGTGGTATTAATCCAATTTAACTAAAACTAATTGAGGGTAAATTTATCACAAATGTACCAGTTTGGGGTTTTTTATAGTCAAACAATTAGTTTTTGGTAAATTTGTCATAGGTGTACCAGTTTAGAGATTTTGGAGGTCAAAAAATTAGTTCAGGATAAATTTATCTGGTATACCAATTTGGTGTTTTTCGTGATTTAACCCTATTTAAAATATTGGTCCATTATGCACACATGCACATGTACCTGCACAAATATCATACCCCTATGTCCCTCCCTCCCATCTCTCTCAACCTGCACAACAAATGTCATGAAGTCAAAAGAGATTGTATATGATCAAGACCACCGGTCCAAAACTTCTTCATCAACCCCTCTCTCTCACCTCTCTACTATTTTTAGTTAATTACCTTTTTGAAGAAATGGCCATGTAGGAGAGATGGACGTGAAACCGCTTTCCACAATCACTCGCTCCCGTTTGAGAAATTTCGTTGCGCTGGAAGCTTCACTCTTAACTCTCTCTCTCTCTCAGTTCCCTGAACATCACACTTGAGACGCAATCCTCTCGCTAGCCTAAAAACTGACCTAAAATGAAGTTCCAAGGTGTGAACTAGAACCTGTTAGGGAGATGGACGGCAAGGGTCCGAGATTCGGAGCAACGTGTACGGCAGTGGCTGGGCACGTATCAAACGGGCAAGGACTTTGCGAGGGCGTACGACTAAGCAGCGCGAGAGCTACACGGAACAGACGCGATCACCATATTGGGATCCTACTATTAGCAGGTTCCATTTCAGCTTTCTTTGCAAGTTGAATTAGCATCTTATGAAACTTACGAGTGATTAATTGAGTGACCATATCATTCAATTCGATTTAATCTTGAATTAGTATTTCTTTGTTCGGTGACTAAGGGAAACTTTTTTACCTTTAGAGAAAGAATCTTAGTGATGAAATTTTATTGTTATATGTAATCAAGCTATCTGTATTTTCCCCTAGAAATTCAATTCTTGAGTGTTTCTTTTGAAGCCCAGTTCTAACATCTTTAATTTTCTTGAGTCAGTTTCTTTCTCATCGTGGTGATATATGAAATTTTCCTGTTTTGTTCATTTTATATATGTATGCCGATTATTATTTCAAATTTTAATTTTCAAAAAACATCTCCCAATCTTCTCAGGACTTCACCGCCAATCTTTATTTTATATATGTAATATGTTTGTCCAGGTATGCATATGAATATTGTATTGTCTATCAAGACATACATTCTGATTGCATCCGGGTGTATGAATTCTCTCAATTCATTAATTGTGACTGTACTAATCCACAGGGCTAGATGTAGAGCATACTGCAGTTTTCTTTAGAGAGCAGCTCTTGTTGCAGCTTCTGACTCCGTTGAAGCATGTTGTGAAGACAAAAAAGCATCGGCAATCTTTGCCAAGTTTAATCCTACAAAGTAGATGTTCTACTATCAATGGAATGAATCAACCTCCATTGGGCATTGTCATGTCATGGCTTGCGCACACAATCTTATCCTCCATCATTGTGCGAAATAAAAATCCTGAAGACACTTTTGGTGTTGAGGGGAATGATTAGTGAATAATGTATTATGATAAGTGATTTCCAGTTAATGAAACTAAGATAAGAGAAGAAGTGCGATAAACAGCATATTGTATGAGCCATCTGGTCCGAATACAAAACATATCTGCACACAGAAAAGCATAAGAAAGATGAGATTGACTCTGATTCACTTTCTCTGGATCCGGACTCTGGGATTGCTTCTGGAAAATTGAACTTCTTGTCAACAAAAAAGATGTTAGCAATTTGCAGGACTACGCTTTGGACTGCAACTTGCATGATTTACATTATCATTCGGAAGATACTTTGTCAAAAGGCACTATGTGTACTCCCAGAAAACTACGACCTCAGAAGCTAAATTGCTACAACAGCTAAGCTCGACGTTCTCAAGTCTAAACTGAATTCAAAGGGAATAGTCACTGGTAATAATCTCTTGCAAGATTGGCATACAATGCACAAGACAATGGAAAAGGATGTCATGTGTGGGAGCATATTGGACAGATTTTCACTGCTGAGCGAAAACTGCTCCTTTCTTGAGGTAGGCGGCTTAAAAGCCTCATCCCTCCCTTATCAATACGACAAAATATCCACCAGCTTCTTCTGATCTGTCGTATGGTTTTGGCAATTGTAATTTCTAGAAAGAGAGGTCTATGCAGAGCTTACGAAGTGTAAGACAATCTTTAGGATCTTTAGGACCAGGTGACTTCATGCCAGATACTTGAAATTTAGCAGACAATTAAGCTGTGCAGGCCAAAGCTGGAAAGCTACAAGAAGTTAACTTTGGCACCTTTGGATAAGCTATGCTAGCTATGTTGTGTAAAAACTACATAAACTAATCAGCTGAACATCTCTGTATAACAGCATATGGAGTCACGTTTGGAAAAGCATCTGGGCTGTTGATTTGGAGAGTTCAGTAGAAACATCTTGATGAAACAGTAACTAAAAACCAGCTTATGCATTCACTGTTGAGGTGAGTGCAAAATATCTTGGCAAAAGTCAAGTGTTACTAGGATCATTTAAAATTTGTGCCCAGACAGGATTACAAAAGTCAAATGTTGCCAATCTACAATAATCAACTTTACCCATTCAAAGATATTTCCACAGTGAAAACCCACACATGAAAATTAAAGACCGAGAACCGGACTTCAATAGAAGCGATCACCAAGAATTGAATTTCTGAGGGAAAATAGAGATAGTTTGATTGCATACAATAGAATTCCATCACTAATATCCATTTCTAGAGATCAAAAATTTTCCTGTTGGTCACTTAACAAAAACAATACTAATTCAAGGTTAAGTCTAATTCGCCTTGTGAAGAAGGCTAAAGTGGAACTTGCTAGCACTAGGATCCCAATATATCCGGATCTCATCACCAGCCGCCAACCCCCTCCGTTTCGCAAATTCCTTGATCCAATCGCCCTTGAAGACGTAGGACCCAGATGACGCCCAGAACACGAACACCAGTTGATGCTCTGAGCATGTGTCCGCGTCCGTCACGATGACGTCGGCCCCCTTGCCGCTCTCAACTTGCCTCACTATCTCCTCGCTCATCCATCGGAGCAAGTGGCTCGTCACAAAGTCCCGCCCGATCAAGAGCCTCGACAGGTGGCCGAGATCGCTGTGTAAGCTTCTTCTTGATCTTATAAGGGTCGTAGAGCAGCACCAATTCTGTGGAAACGCCATTGCGTCTTTCATCCTCTGTATCACATCCTGAGGCCCTTTCTTCTCCTTTTGCGTTCTATTGTACTTTGGCTTCTTCTCAACAATTAAGGTTTCAGCGCCCGTAGGTGAGGCCACGGATTTTCGCTTCGGTTGGGCGGGAACGATTTCTTGACGAGGGCCACCGACTTCCTTCCTGTTCTGATCAGGAGTGAGGGGGAAGAATTCGCGAGCCACCACCACTCCTGCAGATGAATTTCTCTGGCCCCTTCGTCGCCATTCTTCTCCTGATCGTGCAGATAAGAAACACACCACCAAGAGCCTGTCAACGGCAGCAACCAGACCACGCCTCTCAGGTGGTCGCCAATGGGTTTCTCCTTGTGATCGCGTGGATGCGAAGAACCCATGAACGGCAGCGAGTGGACCTCGTCTCTCAGGACGTCGCCAATGGGAGGCGATTTGGGGCCGAAGAAATCGATGAGCTTCATGGGTTTTCGGTGGAAGAAACAGAGAAGGGCTACGCAAGAACAACAGAGGGCAACACGGTGCAGACGAATTTAGAGAGCGAGCTAGAGAGAGAAGACAACAACGTTGGAGTGAAGAGAAAGAGGCGAGGACATAGACACCGGAGGCGAGAGAGGGTTTATATAGTTTACCGTTGGAATTGAAATGGGGAGCGACGTCATCAATCTCCGCAGTCAAGTTTCGAGAGTGCACCGAGGAGTGTGGAATTCTTTCCTAATTTGAATCAGGTTAAGATTAGCGCATGTGAGGGATTAACAAAATAGGAAATATTTTCAAGATTCAAGATTGATTTTCCTACGGAAATTAATAATGTCGCAAATTCTGTAATTATATAAATAATGAGTTGGAGAAAATTCCCGGTTAGATTCCTATGCTATGGACGAGCTTCTTCATTTCGTTAAATTATTTTTTTCGTGTAATAGGATGGAACTTTTTTTTTTTAAAGGTTGGAAATTAAAAATTTCTTGATTTTTTTTTACAAAAGAAAGATTTCTAAACGTACATAATAATGACACGGTAGTTACATTAAAAAAAAACACGGAATAGAGAACAGAGACGGGGTCGGTAATCAGTTTGGTATACTGTAAGCTTGTTCTACATTCGCCTTCTTCTTCTTCTTCTCCTTCTTTTTTATCAATTTGTTCACATTTTTCAAGTGGGACAATATTTAGGTAAAATTATATGTTCCCCTCAAGGTTTTAGTTGAATTTTGTTGTAGGATGATACCACCAGAAATCCTAAATTGTGCTCATCGTAACATTAATAATTAAAACTTTTTTTTATCACAAAAAATTCTTAATCCCACCCTCTCTGGCACTAATACCGAAAACCTGTTTGTGTCACAAAAACCGTTAAACCTATACCGGTACGACAAAAATAAGTTTGGAGTATTGATATCGCGGTGCGTAAAGTTTATGGTATTTTTTGATAGTTGAGGGTACTTTTGTAAACTTGCACAAATTAGGGGTTTTAGTGATATAAAAGAAAAAAATTTGGGATATTGACGTTACAGCGGGTATAATTTAGAATTTAGGCGGATATTTCCCTATGTTTTATATTCTCCTCCAACTTCTCTTTATTTTTTTTCAAAAGTACGCTATTTTCCTCTCTTTTTCCTTCCAAATTACAACATTTCTCTTTCCAATTTTAGTTCCTCTTCGAAAAAATGACATTCTTGTTCGCACTATGTGGAAGAATGATGTTAAACTGAATGTTGAAGAGACTAGTTCCACGTTACATCCTTCTCTCTGCCTCTCTCTCTCTCTCTCTCTCTCTCTCTCTCTCTGCCTTCTCTTGGCAATTTGACTTTGACATCAAAAGGAACGCAAGAAGGCTTTCCATCCAATCCCCAGAACTTTAACTGGGGTTCTCCTCTTTGCACTCGTTGTCTGCTGTAAAGCATTTCTCATGCAGTAGCAGTAGACTCTGCAAAACTTGACTGAGACTATTGTCAACCGATTTGCCAGATTAGGCAGGATTGTTTAAGATAAAAGAGGAGAAGAAATCGGTAAACGGTAACCGTTCTCATGTCTTTCTTTCTTTTTTTGTGGTAAGTCATTCTCGTGACATCACTGCGAGATGAAAGAAAAGTTGAACTCACTAGGACTCCATCTGCAGGATAAAAGAGGAAGTCGTTCATTTCGATTACTTCAGTGGTTGCATAATCTAACGTTCAAGTCTTACAGTAAGAGGTTCTATCCATATGGGGTAAATGGTGAAGTACAGACTAACTGCCTCAACTTGTAACGAGGATGAAAAATCAATGAAAGAATATCAAGTAATGAGGGATCATGGACAGCCTTTAACCGTTGTTCTACCCTTCCAAACAGCCACTAGCCGCAGCTGACTTATAGCATCCGCTGATGTCGTTGCCCAGATTCTGAAACTATCCTCTTGTCTTGCGTTCTTTGGCTGCTCAATTACATTTCCAGAAGACGATGCATTCGGCCCCTAATATCCCTGACTATATGCATTTCTTTGAGACACCCTCGCTGATGATGTCATGCAAATGGCTCCAATCCAATGATCTAAATAATTCTTCTAAGGTTGAGCATAGTGCCATTTTCACTGCATTTTCATAACAAAAATTTACATGCTTCATGGCTTGGCTGGGGTGGAAAAACTGCAGTAATGGAAGGGTGCTTTCTTGTTGCTCCAAATTCAAGCCTTGGCAGACTGGCATCTGAAATGAAACCACTTTCACTTGGAGAAACTCTCAGTAGCTGTATAGGAGTCAATCCCACATCTTTACTGCATATTGTTTTTTACAAGAGCATCGCCTAGACATAGGGGCCCTGCGATGTAGAACAAGCTGTTCCCAATCTGATCTAATTCCGAACGTGTTCTCCTTGAGCCATCATCTATATATTGGTATCTTGAGGCAAATTGAAAGCTCCCCTACCCATATCTCAGAATTGCTGTTTCATCCTTACAGGAACTGCTTCAATGTCAGATTGTAAAAGGACCGAGAGATATAAGCATCAATTGTTAGATGAAAGTCCGAAACATATTTGGATGCAAGAGATCGGGATTCTTTCAGCAATTAATACTACAGGACAGAATAAACAAGATGTTCTTAGGCCGATTTCCTAGAAGATGGGATAGAATTATATACTTCTGACTTCTAATGAAAACATTATTGTCCCAACATGGGTGAACACTTCAAGAGCTTAACAGTGAAGCAGAACCTCCAGTTACCACAGCAAGCAACTAGAGATCAATCTCGTGTCAATATCCCAAATTATATTTAGAGCAGTGCACATTGCACATCTTCAAATGGAGACGCTTTCAGTTTCAGATACGATGCAACAGCACTTTCCTTGGGCCATCCATTGCAAATGCCAATGCATCTTTTATTTAATGTCAAAGCTCCTATTTGAAAGATCATCAACGTCTGTGCCATTAACTATTTTTTATCAGCAGCAGTCGTTACCTTTCCATTAGGAATGAGCATATCGGCAACTGCTTCAACTATTGAGCTTTGAATCCTCCACCGATGTTCTGGTTTGTTAAAGTCAGGGTTTGGGCACTAGATAGAACAGAGGCATCGGACAAAACTCTGTATAAGCTGCACAATCCTTGTTATGCACTTCTTATAGACATCGATTCAGGGCAAGTTAGCGTAATCTAGTGGTGCAGGTCCGTCCATATTTGGACCTTTACAACATCCCACAGTCATCACCACGCGATGCTTTTCAAAACGTAGCATAATATCGTTTTTCATGCTACTCTGCATCAGAATATGAGCAACACGATCTTTTCTCTTCCACGCTTGATAAGCCTCTAAGTCATGCTTATGTTGTTCCGTGTTTCGCATTTCAGGCTCTTGAATTTCAGTAAATTTTACGATGCCAAACGTCGTAATTCTGTTCATTCAGTTTGTCATCCTGATTGAGGTCGTCAATAATGCTCTTGGTAGCAGTCATAATGTCTCTAAAAAGACACAATAGCACATAAATTTTTTTTTTTTTTTTGGGTGACCCAGGGAACCCCTGCACGGTCGACAGCCGTGAGGTAAACCCTGGGGGCGACACGTGCTAGCCACCACACACGTGCACCGGTTAAGTCACCCTGCGGCACCCGGGATTCGAACACTCAAACTTTTGCGAGAGGAAGAGTGCGCGCTCCAGCAGCGCCACCCAGGCGGGTGGTATAGCACATAATTTTATATTAGCACAACATATTAAAAAAGTATTTTGCAGCAATTCCTTGAATTATTTGACATTAATGTTCATACATTACAGAATCGAAAGAAGCTTAATACACTTCAATCATCTCCCACAATACAGAAAATGACACAAATGGTCCCTAAACTTTGGTACAACGTGCAATGCCATTTATGGACTTTCAATTTGTTCGATGTGGTCCATGAACTATTCGAAATGTTCAATTTAGTCCTTAAATTATATGAAAATAATGCAAAGAAAAGGACTACATAAAACATTTACCTATAGTTCAATCATCATATTGAATAAATTAATAGTCTAGAGACGAAATTGAAGAAATTTTCTACCAAATGATGTAAGAAAAAAGAACAAAAATTGTTCTCTACTGGTAGGAAAGTCTGACGAATCAAACTCAAGGTCCAGCTCTGATATCATACCGAGTCAGTATAACTGAGGCCTTGGATATGTAGTTTTCCTTTGGATCGCCACACACATTCTCTGCTCTGTGTTGCTGCATCTATCCCAAATAGAAATCTGAAATTACAAGACGCAATGCTCAGTTGTTTGGCCTCTTTACTTCCTGTTTCAGGGAAGATCTTTGTACCCTCATAGTCAATTTTTCTTGCTTGGTTAATCAGGTAAAGTTTTCAGAGCTCACTCTTGACACTTTCAGGATGCTTCAGCGTTTGGAGTGGGAACCAAGTGGTTCATTTCACCGGTCACTGGAACTAAACTTGGTGCTTCCGCACGTACTCGCATGAACCACTCAGGGTAGTGTTGATCATACTTTGCCTCCAAACCTGGGAAAAGCTGTTTTATATCGACCATCAGTGG